CATTTTTAAAAATGTAAGAAGTAGAAGTAAAAAAATAGGCGGAAAAATAATTACTCAAGTAAAGTACAGATACCCAAAAATTCTTCTTAAGTACAGAAACAAAATATTTGTACTTACTTTACAACTCTGCAAACAAGTATTGCAATTTACTGTTATCAATAGTGGCATACTGAGAGATGAGGACACCAAACACAAAATTAACTCAAAACTAAACAAAACCCAAACCCTGAATTACAAGAGATTCTATATTTTAGGATTATTATGCATTTCTGGGGAATTCAATATTTTTCAGAAATTTCAACTATAATTGCAATTAAGTTAAATGGTAATCTTAGCACTCTTTGTTTATGAATAAAATATTTTTTTTAATTAGGGAGTTTCAAATACAGAGTTTTCAACTTTTCCACCATTTTTCTTTCAAGTTTGTAAATTATTTAATTTTTAAGTTTCATTTAGACTGTTTCTAATGGTGTAGTTGTTGAATTATTTCTCACTGAGTTAAATTCCATTAACAGAGGGGCTATAGGATGCTATTCTATCATGTGTTGAGTCTGATTAATAAATTGTTTTGGTAATGCTTTATAAAATGGTAAAGTCAACTTTAGGGGGACTGAATTCATACCTCATACAGACCATTAGCATCCATTTAGCGATAGACCATACGTTCTTCCCAATCCAGTATATGTAAAATAATGACTTATTGTATGAATCTATTGTCTCATATGATAGTGGAGTGTGGGGAGTAGTTACAACCCCTGGTAAAAAGTATGGTATCACCAGTCTTGGATGAGCACTCATTCAGACATTTCATTTTGTAAAACAAACTCAGATCAAAAACGTTACAATAATAAGATCATTCCAAAGTGTAACTTGTTGGCTTTCAGGAACACTCAAAGAAATGAAGAGAAAACATTGTGGAAGTCAGTGAAAGTTACTTTTATTGAACAAGCACAGAGGAAAAAATATGGAATCACTCAATTCTGAGGAAAAAAGTATGGAATCACTCACATTGGAGGTAGAAAATAAGGACACACCCAGTCAATTTCCTTTCCCTAAATGMACACCTGCCTCAGATTAGATCTGCTCATTAGTCTGCAGTTAAAAACACCTGCAGTCATGACACCTTGGAGGGCTGCTGGACGAAGGGGAGTGGCAAGAACCAACAAGAGAAATGTCTCTTGAAACAAAAGAGAGGATTGTGAAACTTCTTGAAGAAGGTAACTCTTCATGCATGGTTGCTAAAGATGTGGGCTGTTCACAGTCAGCTGTATCCAAGATATGGACCATATACAAACAGCATGAATGGTTGTTAAAGCCAAGCGTACTGGTAGACCAAGAAAGACATCAAAGCATCAAGACAAACAACTTAAGGCCATTTGTCTTGAAAACCGAAAAAGTACAACTAAACAGATGAAGCATAAATGGGAGGAAGCTGGAGCCAATGTATGTGACTGAACTGTAAGAAATCACCTAAAGGAAATGGGATTTCAATACAGGGAAGCTAAAGTAAAACCATCATTGACACCTAAACAAAACAGAACAAGACTGCAATGGTCTAAGGAGAGGCAATCATGGACTGTGGATYACTGGATGAAAGTTATTTTCTGTGATGAGTCAAGAATCTGCATTGGACAAGGTGATGATGCTGGAACTTTTGTTTGGTGCCGTTCCAGTGAGATTTATGAAGAGGACTG